AATTAAATGACTATCAGTTTGCTCTCCCTTCATGATAACAGTAAATCATCCACCTGAATTGGTTTTTGTCTCTCACCCAACATTGGCCAGATTATCCCTACTTTTTCAATATGTCTCAGCAACTAAAACCCTGTCACACAGTTACATAGCTTAATATTAAGAGGCAAATTGCTGTAATTAAGAACTCTCCATAGATATTTGTGTAACTACACAATAGAATTTCAGCCAGCACATTTAAGAAAATTTAGGTACTCTTTAGATGATACTTTTGATGAAATCCTGCTAGTAATCTCCATTCCAATGGGGAAGAAATTGTCGTCTTGCAAAAATTGTCCATAGAAAACATCGCTTTCTCTTTTGATTTTATATGGGATATAATCCCAAATATAATGGGATTTTTGGATGTAATGGTTTTATTCTTGTTAGCCACCTACTGGCTGGAATCTAGTAGCCAGTTGCATCTTGAAGAGCCCCATTGCAATATATAGAGTATGGGATTATTATATACTGTATATTATTGATATATTTATTATAAAAAGACAAAAAAAACCCAACAACCTTGTACACTCTCTTCATACAAATGTACAAATCAGTGGGCATTTGTGCAATTCTAGAGCAAGTATAAATTGGATCAAGGAGCCCATGTTCCCTACCCCCCCAAGACAGAGCAACACCACAAAGGATCATTCACATCTCATTTGGCATTTGCAAGATTAAGAGGTGATTAGTAATTTGAATTGAAGAAAGGGGAAATCAGGCTTAGTACAGTAGACTGAGCAAAACAGAAGTTGGGTGACAACGGAATCCCTTAATAAAGTTCACAATCTCCCACTGAGGCGCTGGGGAGGCCTCAGAATGAGGTCACATTTGGTTCATGTATATACTTGCTGTTCCTCTGCCAGTTATTTTGTGAGTGGTAGGCTATATTTCTGTTTAGATAGCTATTTTACATTCTAGAATACTCTTCCTTTTCTTTGTTTTCTCACTCAGCTGAAATCACATTTTTTTTAAAAAAAACCTTAGAATTGCTTTACCAAGCAATTCTTAATATTATATTTCTTAATTGTATTTATAGGCCACTGTCTTCCAATAAGGGGACTCTTATTAATATTATAGCCTGCTCATGAAAACCAGTATGTAAAGGGTTAAGACAGAAAATTTGGCAAGATACACTGATTTATAAAGTTTATGTAGGCAGCGATCGAAGAGCATGACATTTCCACCTGGAGTCTGATATGGCTCCTGCAAACCTGTATAATTGATAATGCCGCATGTATAGGCTCTTTTTATAATAGTTCACCTACAAGTGAAAAGGAACAAAGCCTTGTTGGCTGAGGGACCATAATCAATATCTCCGAAAGAGTTTTTAAGAACTGAATTGGTTTTAAAATCCAACCCTGCCTGTCAGTGGGATGTGTACTTTCGATCATAAAAGGATTTACAGGGTAGAAATGTCAAAAAGGAACTAGTTGTTGTGTGGAACACTCCAGTTTGCAGCTCTCCCATGGTCTGTAACTTAGGTTACAGTCTGAAATCACTGGGAATCTCCTTTGCACTTCACACTACAGACTCCTCTTCTAGTTTAACACTCAACCTTTTGCCCTTCAAACTCAGCATGTTCCAAACAGGCAAGAAGAAATGATGCAGTTTGGCCTTCAGCCGCTCCTGCTAAAAGGCGTTTTCTTCCCTGACTGACTACCTACAGCTCTTTTATGTTCTCTACTCCTGTTTTGAGCCAGAAGTTGGGCAAAACTGCCTGGAGTTGTAGAATTCAGCACATTTAGGACAAAGAACCTTGCAGCACCAGACAGTAACCAGGTTGAGTTAAACCAGTGTTTTGTCCCTACACCCAGCTGGATGTCTTTTGGAAACTTACAAACAGAGGACAAAGGCAGCATTCCCCTGCCCCACCACTCACTGTTTGCCTCCAGCATCCAGTATTAACTATTTATAGGTTTACTATCTCTAAAAAGGCAGTGCAGTGTACTAGTTAAGAGTTCTAAACTGGGGCTGGGAGCACCGAGGTGATGATTGTTATTATAATTTTGACTTATTTACTGCCCCATAGTGCTTGGAGCACCCTCTGGGTGGTTTACAACATAATTATGCAAGTAACACCCCCACACACACACACACCAGTAAACTGAGTACTTATTTTACCAGCCTTGGAAAGATAGAAGGCTGAGTCAGTCTTAAGCTGGCTGCCTGAACCTGTTGGGATCAAACTCAGGTCATGAGGAGAGGCTTGACTGCTGTACTGCAGTTTGACTACCATACCATGGAGCTCAATTCAGATCTCCATTCTGTCATTACATGACCTTGAGCCAATCACTATCTTTCATCATAATCTACCTCCGAGTGTGGTGTTATGGCGAAAATTGATGTCATGTAATGAATAAATACTCCTTACCTTTAAGATCCACTTAGGGTTCCTGACTAGTAATCATACAGAGAACAGTCATCCATAATCTAATACCATTTTAAGGTTCCAAACCAAAGCACACTGTAACTGAATCAGTGAGACCTACTCTTTAATATACACAAAAGAAATTAGCTAGACTTGAGGTGGAAACAGTATCCTTTGCTAACTGCAAATTTTTTAAAAAAATGAGTTTGCCCATTTGCACAATTCTGATAAGAAGACCATCAAACAATGCAGGCAGTGTCAAGTCCTGAAAACACAATTTTGAAAACATACTTATTGGATACTGTATTTCTCTTTCACTCTGGACATATACCAGCCAAGTATTTTCAATGTGCTTAAGAGACTCAACAGGCAGAGCAAAATATATCTTTATTGAGTGTAATTAAGAATCCATATATAAAAATGCTCTATTAAAAACCCTCGCATTTAATAAAATTACCGTTTCCCCCAAAATAAGACCTAACCTGAAAATAAGCCATAGTATGATTTTTCAGGATGCTCGTAATATAGGCCCTACCCCAAAAATAAGTGTGAAACCCTGCTCTCCACCATTGTGCAGCATTGTGCAGCAACCAGAAGATGACATGACTGTATAATAAAACATCCCCTGGAAATAAACCCTAACATGTTTTTGGAGCAAAAATTAATATAAGACCCTGTCTTATTTTTGGGGAAACACAGTACATATTCAAAACTTTATTGATTTGTTAATTCTTGCATAAATTAATCCATGGTAATAAAGCTGACCATGTTCTCTTACTGGCTCCAGCAAAAATCCCACACGCAAATTAAGAAGGGGCATTATTCTTTAACATAAGCACAAAGATTTGCCCTCAAAAGTTTCTGCATGCACTTCCAAGGAGCATCAACAGGTATGTCACATTGGCAGTTTCCTGCAGAGGGTCTGAACATGGTTCTAACCTATTTCACAAAATTAAAAAGATCCCCCCCCCAGCGCGCATGGGAGTCAGTTCAGCAGAATTCAGGCTCTTGCTCTGTGCCAGCCTCTCTGTACCACACACACAAGCCTTGTCCCTAAACATCCCTTCATCTCCAAGTCCATTATTTGCTAAAGAGATCTGATTGGCTAAGAGGATTGGGAACATGATATCCTGCTTTTCACTGATGCCAGCTCTAATCTCTTCCAGCCGACCAAGCTTCCTCCCATCCCACCTCTTTCAGGAACAGCGCAAAAATGGGTTCTGTTGCAGTGTGAGTGAGTGACTGGGAGGGGGAAAAGACCGACACTGTGGTGATGATGATGACCGTAGGAAGAAGGAGAGTACTTTTCGCGCTGGCTCCCGAAGCAAAGCACACCTTTTGTCCCTCCCTTGGAGGTTGCAGACAAGAACAGAGACTCTTGTGTCGGAAAGCTTCCCTTGCCCCCCTAGCTCTCAAGCCTGCCTGTTTCTTCCCTCCTCCGCTTCTGCTGAGTGTGCTGCAAAAGGTGCAACGGCTGTCATGGTCAAGCCGGGTATCTTTCACTAGCAATTAAAGTTTGCAGATCAGCAAATATTTCAAGATCCAGGGATTGCTCGTCTCATTTCACTTTGTCAGCTCGACTGGTATTCCTTCCCGTTGTTGTTTTTGTTTTCTTCCAGGGCGAAACCCCTGGCGATCCCACGCTATGATACCGTCTTGCTTCTTCTCCCTTGCCAGCTTTCTACCAGGGACCGTTTCCCAAGAGTAAAGGGGGGGGGGAGAGGCGGGGAGAGAAATTCCTGCCGGTGTGAAGGGTCGCCCGCTGCGATGCGAAGCACACTCCTGTGAGCTCAGGCGGTGATTTGAAGCCGTGTCACGACTCGACGACGACGACGACGACAGAGAGCCGGGCTGGGTGATGCCTGCGTGGGTGCGCGCGTGGATGGCTGGCAGGGAAAAAGCTCGCGTCGCCGCCGTCCTCTCGCTGGCCGCGCCTGCGGTCGTTGCACTCCGCGCGCGTTCCCTCCTTCAGCTCGTCGGCGGAGGGGCGCGGGGGATTCCGGTGGCCTCCTCGCGTGGAAGACACAAAAGGTCTCCAAAGACGCGTGGCAAGAAGCCAAGCTTGACTTAGTTTCCACCATCCAGGCCGGCGCGGAGGGGGTGTGTGCGTCTAATAACACCAAACATAAATTAAATAGAAGATAAAGACAGAGGAGTAAAGGGTGGGGGAAAGATACAGGAGGGAAATTATGGAGAGGGAAAAGACATCAATCACTGTTGGAAACAAAGGGAGGAAGACAGTGGAACACTCCGGAGGAGCAGCAAAAAAATATTTAAAGTGGGAGAAAACCGAAAGAATGGGAAGCACTGATTGCCTTCTCCTAACCCGCCTCTTTGGGCAGCTGCAAGTGGGGAAGGGGAGGGGGAGGAGCGGGACGTACCAATAACTCTCCGAAGAGGGGAAAGAATCCATTGTGACATCTCTCTTTCCGAGATGCCCTGCCTTCCAAGAGCCGGCCCGTTACCCAGACCACGGATTGTTCCTCAGGAAGACTCTGACGGAAGGAAGAAGCTTAGGCGTGAGCGGGTCAGTGTTCACTTGGGAGTCCTTCTCTTTTCTCTCCTCCCCCCTCCGAACTCCGGCGGGTTGGTGTGCCCCGTTCCTTTGGAGGGAGGGGCGGCGGGCGCGGCGCCTCCCCGCACAGTGACACACGGACCCGGCGCTGGGAAGAGGAGAAGGAGGAGGAGGAGGAGGTGGCGGCTGCGGAGGGAGTGCTCGGGAGTCGTAGCGGCGGCGGCGGCGGCCGGGAGCGGAGCCCAACCCAGCCCAGCCTCCAGCATGGCCGGGTCCACTGAGGCGACCACACCGCCACCCGCTCCTCCTGGCCGCCACTTTCTCTCCAATCCCCCATCGAACCGGCGTTGTCAATGTTGCCGCCGCCGCCGCCCCCCGGCTTTGCCTGCCTTGCCCGGCTTGCTCTCGCTGGGCTTGTTTCTTTCCCTTCTCTGCTGTGGTGAGTCGCGGATAAACTTTTTTTTCCTTTACCGCCCTCCTCCTTTCCGGGAAGGGGGCGGCTCTCCCCTACCAAACCAGTTTCCTCTCAAGAGTCTGTCCGAGCTCGGGGCGCGAAGGCGGCCGCTGCCGCCGCCGCCGCTTCTCTGAGGGAGGGAAAGAGGGGAGAGGGAGAGAGAAGCGTCGGGCGGGAGTTCCGGGAAACTTTTTCCTCAGTCGCTGGACGAGGGAAGTTTGTCCCTAAAAACCGTCGTATTGTGAGGCGAGTGACGCGGGGGGGGGGGGGGAGGTAGGAGGGAGAGAGCGAGCGTGAGAGAAAAGAAAGTGGCTGCTTCCTTTCCCTCACGAGGGGCCCCGAAATGGAAAGGCTGGGTGAGGGCTGCCCACAACCCGCGGTCAACTCCCCCCCCCTCCAACGGACACTTCGCCCTCCTTTCCATTTCGAAGCTGGGTTTTCTCTCGGGTGTTAATGGTTCGCCCCTACACGCGGCGGCGCTCCATTGAGGTGAGGAAGCTGCGCTGGGGGGGGTCACCCTGAGGGGGCGTTGGCGGAGGGGGGGCTCCTGCTCGTGCCTCGCTTTCTCGGGGCCTTCTTTTGAAGGGTAGGCGAGCGGGAGGGCCGGGCAGAAACGAGGACGAGGGGGGGTGAGTGGTGGGGCGAGGGGGGCCAGGAAAGGTGTGGGAGGGGGGCCTTGGTGTCTCTCTCTCTCTCTCTCCCCTCCCTCCCCCCGCTTCGCGCGGGCCTACGCCTTCAAAGATGCTAAACTTGGTGAGAAAGGCAAGGCTGCGGACTGGGATGGACAGAAGCAATTAAACGCACGCTTTGGAGTAAAACGCTGCCTTTGTTGTCGTTTATTATTGTTTCAGTAGTGGCGTAAGGGCTTTTAAAGGCGATTTTCTTCTTTGGGTGTGGAGGGGAAACCCGGGGCTTCTCTGTAAGGAAGCGCCCTCCTCCGCCGGGGCGGTAAGCAGGCGGGAAGGGGGCAAGGCGCCTGTTACTCTCTCCGTGACCCGCCGCCCGTCCATCCCGCCTCCTTGTTGTGGTTTGTTGTCGGCGCTGTTGCTGGGAGTGGGAGCTGTTGGGATTCCACTTGTCACTTGGAGCCGCCGCCGCTATCGCCGCCGAGACAGTTACGTCCAGCATTCTCGAAGCTGTGATGGGCAGGGCTGGCTGGAGGCTGCGTTTGCTTGTCTCCGCGCTGTCTAGGTTGATGACGGGGCAGTCGTGATTTTGTGGGGAAGACAGGCGGATATTATTATGAAGCTAGCCGACGCCCTTTTACATGCTCTCCGTCCTTGTCTCCTGCACCGTCCTCCCGACTTGGCAAGCGAGGAGGGATGCCCCCGACTCAAAAAACAAAACAAAAAACAAAAACACCAACTGCTTAGAATTGGCAGATAGCCAGTTTGATGTTGAGAAGCAGGTGCTGAAGCAATTGTGAATATGTGTATAGCAACCTGCCGACTATTCGGTTCCAGGTCTGCTTCTCTTACAGACTGATCGTACATTTAATTCTTTTAATATATCTTTTCTCTTCATTCCTCTGAATCAGGCTTTGTGAAATGACTCCCGTAGAAAGGAAATTGTTGTCACATTTGGGAATGCAATGCAGAGCTGGTGAAGACCTGAAAAATAATCAAAATGTTTTAATTGCCCTTTAGAAGGAAGGATTTGGAAATTGTGTTTCTGTAAAGTATGGTTGCTGGAAACATGATACCTTGACTTTAATGACTTCTGTATATCAGTTTAGTACATCTCATCTGCTTTTGTACATGTTTACTCAAAGGTAAATGGTGCTTAGTTCATGTGTAAATGTGCACATAAAGTAAATGTGCAAATGTTTGTAAACTGCTAATAATTACTTTCATATGGATGTGCTCTCCTTGCCCAATTCTTAATGCCCTATAGTTGAAGGGGAGAGACCCATGTTTGTGATGCTAGCATGTGAAGTTAGCTAAGATGATATTGAAAATTGTTTGCAAAGGGATTTAAGTAGCTGTATTATGAGTTTAATTCAAGATAAGAAAAGAAGATTTGATATACTGCTTCTCTATGCTCTTTCTAATAGTAATAGGTATAATTTGTGACCTTGAGAAAGAAAGACAAGTTATGAAGGGAGAGGTTGAGTAAATCATCCTCAACATGATAGAAAAGTAGCACATGGTCCAAAAACAGTGGATCAGCTTTCACATCTGCTGTTGCTGTTATGTCTTTTGAGAGTTAAGATTCCTTTGGCCAGAATGATCATGGCGAACAAGTGTCCGACCCCAGAAGTGAAAAAACAGCTGAGAATGGGGGAATTGATTATGTTATAATGCAACTTCTAAAAAATATTTTCAGCATCTATTACAGAGGCATGTAATATATTCACAGGTCTTCAAAACTTTAATTGAATCTGGTATAGATCTGTTCTCTTAAATCTCAGGGAATGAGATTTGACAAACAAGAGCTTTGTTTTCCAATGTGTTGTGCTGTAGAACAAGGAGAGATACAGGTGATGTGCTGAAACAGTTAACATTAATTTTTATAGCTGTGGATCAGTACATGTTGTATGTTTGTGTTGTGTGGGCTGCAACTTTGGATGCACATTGAGCATTTCATCATGTGGGCCTGTCTTTGGGGACAGCAGCAATATTAATTCAATAGCATAGTCTGTTTTTATTGCATTGAGACCTCATATTTTATTATTTGGAACATGCACTGTATTTAGGTAGAAGGTCAAGATATTAACAACATGCAACTGAAAACTATCTTTTTCTCCAGTTTGGTTTAAGGCATGGCAAGTGTCACATCTGTTGTGTTTGATGTCTGTGAAGAAAAGATAAAGATCATGGGGGAGTGTGGAAATTGCCACCATAGTTTCTGAACATAGTTCCTGTGATTATTTCACAGCTAATTTCAACATACATTATGTTTGATTATTTATGTAATATTCTTAAAGATATAAAATTTCTTCCAACATTTATTGACATTTTTAAAGTTTACTGTTAAATGCATCATTATTAAATGCCTACTCAGAAGAACATGTAGCAAAGAATGATGCACATTCTTTTCATTGAAGACCTTGAATCCACCAACACTATGTACACATTTTCCCCAGTGTGTGCAACATAGGTGAATATTTGCAACTTTTCATCTTTCTTGTTCTAGAAAGTTATTTGAACACTGTCACTTCATCTATAGTGGTGAACTAGCAACCAGCTCTGCTTTGTTTACAAGATTGTACAGAATATGTTATAATAGAAACCAGTTATCAGTACGGAATAAGCATAATATTGAATTAGATTTCTCTAGTTTCTTCTTGAATCAAGTTTGAAAAGGCATGAAGGAGATAGTGGACTGCTCTGATCCGTTTTTCTCTATCTTTTTTAGAATGGTATGTTGTAGAACAATATCAAAGTCTTTGTTAAGTCCAAATTGTGTAATGTTGATGTACTTTTAATAAAGTTAGCATTTCTGAAAGGGAGACTTGTGTTTGTTTGAAACTGGTATTGCTGTCAAATTCCCTATATTGTATAGTGAAATTAGATAGAATGCTTTGGTCTCTGGTAGCAAGACATTTCATAGTTCATGGTTAAGCTGTGTGGTTCCTGCATACATATTTCCCTTATGCTCTGCTGAGCGTAAAAATTCTCTTAATTCTTTTCTCAAAATTTCTGTTAATTCTTTTTAAACACATAGTGTTCAGAAGTGTTCCAAAGTGAGACACTGGCCTCTATCCACCTGCCATCTTTATTCCCCTGAATGCCTCTTTGGCCAAGGTGCATTCTTAGAAGGTAAAGACAGTAAAGTAAACTGCTACTTGTATACAGCCATCAAACACTTAAAAACCAGGGGGGGGGTACAGTTTAATTATGCTGACCACACAGTGAGTTGGATACTCAGTTTACTGAACCTGGAAGGAAGAGGTCTGAGTTAACCTTGAGCCAGCTACCTCAGTCCATGGGAATTGGACTCAGGTTGTGAGCAGAAAGTTGGCTGTAGTACTACAGTTCAACCTCTGCACCTCGAGGTTCCTGGTAAGATACTGGAATTTAGAGACCAGTATTTTTCCTCTGTACTCTGGCCACCCAAAAAAATAAATAAATAATAGATTTTAAAAAGGGAGGCCATGCTTCATAAATACTCTAAAGTAAAAAGTGTGGTTTGGAGAGACCAACATTCAGAGGGCTTCAGAACACAACTGAAAAGAAAAGTTAGGGAGAACTGTGAGCAGGATGGATTTGATTTAAATTTTTAAAAATCAGATTTTTGACAATTTAAATACAAAAGATTTTCATAATTTAAAATTCAATCTGTTTTTTTTTAAATAATTGATTTTTATCCACCTTGCTTGTGAAACAAACCAGTTATTGCTGAAAACACAGGGGTCATGGCCTGTGATGTCTAAGTGTATATGAGAAAGCTTTCTCTTGGGAAATAGGAATGATCTTGAAAAAGAAATATGTTTAAAGTGTAGATTATGTGGATTTTAGGTGGAGGGAATGTGGTATGGTGGTGCACATGTGGGGGAAGTATATTGAATGAGATAACTACGTTGAAATTAGTCTTTGAGGTCCCATACTCCACATTTTTTGTGTGTTCATTGTTTGTGGCAACATACTTGTTTTCTAACCTAACCAGGTTTTCTTGCTGTGAAAAGAATATTTATTACTGAGCCTACTACAGACCTCATGACAGTTATTTATATTGGTGTTCACAATGCTCCTTCAAATTCCAGACAGGTCCACTGATCCTAAAAAGATGGAGACATGTCAGAGATTATGCTATACTTGTCTAAGCCCAAGATCTTCAGTGTGCAGTGTTGCCCATTCTCCTTCATCTGACTTGTGTCTGATAAGTGCACCCTTTCTGTTGCATGTGTACAGTTATTTGAGTGGGATGTACATTTCGAGCATCCACTTACATTTCACATGAGTACTAACATGTACTGTATGCTGATCTGGGTGCTCACACACAGATGTACAGCAGATTTGAGAATTAAAGATTAGGATGACTTC